GATCTCTTTCATTTCCTTTCATAAAAATTCTTCCCTTTTTACCTTATTTCAGCCATGAAAGTCTCTCAAGTATTGTCAGTATCAAACAAAAACATGTCGCTTCTTGACCCTATTTTATTCACACCTCTTGATCTCTTTCATTTCCTTTCATAAAAATTCTTCAACATTCACGGATATACTGGATTCCAAAGATAACATACCCTTATCAGATTTACCTTTCTAATTATAACCTACCTTTCAGATCTGAAACCCTACTTATGTTTTGTGTCTTTCTTCTAATTTTTTCCAAAATAAAGTCTCTGAGAACATCAATAGTTCTCCCTAGAACTAAGTCTACATTATGAATTCATTCATCATTTATTTGATCTTTCAAAAAAGCCATTTTTGAAATCACGTAAACCTAGCCTCAAACAAATGACCTGATGTATATAAAATGCTTAGAACATTACTCAACATACAGCAAGTGCTAAATAAGGGTTAGTTACAATTATTGTTAACACTTGCTACTTTTCCCCCTCTCCTTCCATACACATAATTCCTTCAGAATTTCACTCTACTAGCCTGCTCTATATACTTGTGGGCAGAGGTGATGAATGTACAAGATCTGAAAGTCATAATCATTGTTTTCAAGAAGTTAAGAGTTCTCTAGGGAAGAGATACAAATGAATAATTATATTGCAATACCACAAGTACCTATTAACCATGTTTACAAAATGATACATTGGAAGTACTGTCACACTGAAGAAGACAGAACACAGTTTTTCCAGAGTAGAACTATGACCAATAATAGGTTGAAGTTATAAGGAGAGTTCTAATCATCAGCGCTGCCCACCTATAGAGCCAGCTGCCTTGGGAATCAGTGACAATCATAGTAATCAGAAGACAATCTGCCAGGCCAGGAATAATGAAGAAATCAAAGAGATCCAGCACCAAAAAGTCATCAAAATTCTAGAAAAATTTACTGATAGCAGAGTAATAATGGATGTAAAACATTCTTTAAGGTCATGTGTGTGTGTGATACCATAATTAGCATGACAGAAGAGTTTAGCTGTAACTACAATGAGGGTGAAGCTAAAGCAAGCCAAAGCCAGGTAAGATGGTCTGTGGCCAGTAAATCTCTACTTTGCCAATGGGCACACTTGTGAATAGAAAAGGCAGAACCCAAGTCGAGATCTTTAGATACAAAGATATTTTTGCCACATCTCCTTCATAGAGAAAGATTGAAGGCATAGGTGGGCTATGAATAGCAAGACCATATAATTTCATGTCCAAGCTGGGACACTTAAAGGTAAAAGGAGTATTCTTAATAATTACACCAAGAACACAGGACATTATGGTTAACCGAGCTATCAATGGGTAGTCACATATGAAGAAATGTGAGCCAGGGACTGCCTGAGGCAGACATTGTAGCCAGGATCTTGGGTAAAAATCTCAGAATGAAATAGAAAGTAAGTATTATTAAAGCAGTGGTTCTTAACTAGTGATAATTTTGGTCCCCAGGGAACATTGGCAATATCTGAAGACTTTTTGGTTGTCACAATGGGGGGAAGGGTTCTACTGATATCCATCCAGTGGGCAGACGTTGGGGATGCTGGGAAACACCCTACAATGCACTGGACAGCCCACACAATAAATAGCTAGCGAATCTAATCTGTTAAGAGTGCTGAGGTTGAGAAATTGTGTATTAAAAATTAAAAGATCTGCCTGTATAAATATATGAAATGTCTGCACTATAAAAATTTAATTAAAACACAAAAAACTGCAGAAAATGTTCACACCTTCTATAACAAAGAGTTAATAATATACACACAGCAAAAGCCCTTAGACGAAGGCAAGCATCTCTACAGCAAAACATGCAAAACTTACTGGCAAACGACTGACAAAAGACAATACAAATGGCCAATAAACACTAAAAAATAAACAAACTCCACAACTTGAAATAAAAAGGCACTTCTGATGTTATCTATAAAAACCCTGCAAAGATTTTTCTAATTCACAGTGTTAGTGATGAGCTCTTTAACACGCAGCCAAACAGAAGTATAAGTTGATTTCAAACAAAGAACCAAAAGACTGTCCAGGAAGACATGTAGCTATACTTAAAATAGATATCTTTTTTATCTTAACTTTTTATTTTGAAAACTATATGTGTTTTGACACAACCACACACTTTTAAAAATCTGTCCTGCGCAAAGATTTAGCTACAAGAATTTGGGAAGACATGTAGCTATACTTAAAATAGATATCTTTTTTATCTTAACTTTTTATTTTGAAAATTATATGTATTTTGACACAACCACACACTTTTAAAAATCTGTCCTGCGCAAAGATTTAGCTACAAGAATTTCAGCTCAGCATTGTTTATATGGGCAAAAAACTGGAAAGTCCTAAAATGTCAAACAAGGAGAAACTGATTAAAAAATCAGGGTATATCTATACAGAACTCTTAAAATCATATTATACCAAATATTGACATGGAAGGATGTTCATAACAAATAATTATATAAAAAAATACATACAAACTAGATATATAAATCATTTCTGTGAAAAAGTAATATATGTGAAGATGTGTGCACATGTGTATGAAAACAGTCTATTACAATATAAACCAAAATGTTAACAAGTGGAACTACTTGGGTGGTGGGTTATAAGCACCGTGAAAGCAGGGATTTTTGTGTTTGTTCCCTGTTGTAAATCTAATTAAAGCATAAGGGAAAAGTAAAATAAAAATTACTATTGTTATTTTTGCTTATCTATACTTTCTCACTGATCTGCAATGAAAACATTATTTACATAATAAATTTTTAAATGTTGCTTTTAAAAAGAATAATTCAACATCAAAACAAAATGTTTTACAAACAGAAATCAAAACAATGTCACCTACCTCACAGGGTTTAAAGAATAATTTATGTAAATATGCACTATATGAATGTAAGAAATTAATTATTTTGTTAAGCTCATACATTCTAAAGTTAAACCAGTTTCACATGTGCTTTGGCTGTTAGCCTTCCTCCCAGCAATTTCACTTCCATTAATTTGTCCTTTAAAAACAATTAGAGATGTACTCAGTGTTATTTCTAGAAAAAAGCTGCAACACAGAGAATTGGTTGAGAAAGTTGAGGCACATCTATAAAGTGGAATATCATGTCACCATTAAAATTTATCCTATAAAAATATATTTACTGACATACACTTTAGTGACATAACCTCTCAAAAAATCATGTATGTGTAACATCCCAATCACAGCCTATTATAACAACTATTATGTCAAATACTCAAAATAATTATAATTTTCTGATAATTATCTTTTTCAATTTCTTAATTTATTCTATTTGAATTTATTTAGTTATTCAGTTTGCCACTTGTTTCTCAAGATTTGATCAGTCAAAGCCATCCATAACATTTTATCTTTCAATCAGTAAATTAAAAACATTTTATGAATTGCTTTTGTCCTTTGAAGGCATACCCACTTTAAAGCCACACTATGGTTTTGAATGAAGGACATGTATATATTACAAAACATGTATGTCATTTCTTTTTACATTTTAATGTTAGTGGTTTCTTATACAGATCTCTTTATGCATTACTCACTACTTCATAAATAAGAAGCTGAATCTCATTTTCTCTCCTTAATACAAATAAAAGAACTGCTGTCCAAAGCTTTATTTTCTCTAATTTCATAGAGAGATCACAGAAGGGTACAAAGAAGAAACACTCAGAACTAAATGAATAACAGCTCAAAGAAAGTATTGAAAAAATTAAAAATATATATAAAATGTTATTTGAATCCTTTTATAAACATGGACAGAAGGAAAACTTTTCTCCCACAGAACTCTATTAGAAGTTGAAGAACTTTTATATAGACCAACAACTTATATGCTTTCTTTAATTTGAACACCAGTTCTCTGAAAAACAAAAAGCAGTAAACTCTTCCATTTGCTAAGGACTATTTTTTAACCTATGTGCTATTCAAAAACTCAGTTGACCTTTGTTGACTAGTGCTCTTTGTTCTGCTTACACTATTTAAAAGCACTTAAAAAATGGTCTCTCGTTCCTTTATTTTAAATTTATGAGATTGCCTAACACTGGAACTAAAGTATTTTCAACATATTATTGATAATATATTCTCATTTGGAAAGCTGATTGATACCATAACACTGATACTACACTACAATTCAACTATGCTGGGAGTCATTAAGATTTTTTAAGTATTCCAATGCTTACAAATGAAACTATAGCTTAAGAAAAGTGGAAGGAAACAATATGATGGATACAAGATGAAAATTCATTTGCCTACAAGTATTGATGAAGATCCGACATCACTCATGGCAATGAAGAGGACTGTGGGGGGATGAGTGACAGGCAGAGGAAAAATGTGACAAAGCATTCCAAAGGAAGAACAAGAGAGCTGTGCAAATGACATGCAGGAGCAGTGCTGGAAAACCAACCTAAGAAGGAAATATTAACAGATATTTTAGGAAATTATTTTGATGTTCAAAATAATAAGAGGGAAAAGATGTATTAAAAATAATGTACTAATTAATTTTTTGATATAATCTAATTCCATATACCAAGTGAGCTGGATATGCCTGTTTAAAATACATTCTGTTTTGTATAGCGGTGGCTTAAAATGCAAAGAAATCAAACAAAAAAGAATAGCACATAATAATGATGAGCTCAGGGGAAATGTACCTGAAATGGATAAACAAGGATACCACTAAGTGTAGAAAGTTACAACAGCTCTAAAACACTTTTTAACCCAAGGAACCCTGGTCATTTGAAGCATATACTCTACTGCTCTCTCACCTGAACATATCTGAAAAAATTCACCTCAAAAAAGAAGACATTGATTATGTAACCCACAGACCTCTGCAAGACATATAATGTTACAGTGCTTCTCTATCAATATATAAGACTTTGGAAGGTTTTTAAAAATACGGCAATACCACCATGTAGGAAAATAGGGACAATACCATAATCTAGCTGAAAGGTGAGAAACCGACCTGATTGATGGAGTTGGCAGCACAAGATGCGAGGCCTGTTCCAACAGAAGTAAGCAGGAAACAGGGCCAGTCAAAAGGTCCTGGAGCCAATGCAAATCCGGCTGAAGTAGTACTTACAACTAGAGCTGCAATACAGAAACAGCAGATGTATGGTTATCGCAAGATTCCCAAATGTAAAAGCCAAAAAGACAAAGAACTTTGAAATAAACCAATGGGTCACATTAATAACACAAACTATAGGCTAATCTTTCATTTTAAAAAAATCCACATTTTTCGGAGTATAAAAATTACACGTTCATTATAGAAAAATGTTAATTTTCCTTTAACTCCTCCAAACTTAAAAGTAAAAAAATAAGGTGGACCTTCCAGATTCAGTCATTCACTTATTCACTGAACAAACACTTACTGAATACCAAATTCATGATCAGTACTGTGCCAGCCAGTAGGCATCGTAAGGGATAAAGAAGTATCAAGTCTTACTCCTGCTCTTGGGTAATTTGACAAGAAGACGATGAACATGCACTAACAACTATAACACAAGGTAGCAAATAATAACGGTGCCAATTCTGTGACAAACTCCAGACAAGCCTAGTGATGGGCTTTCATATACCAGCTGATGGTCCTGGTGCCAGAGGATGAGTAGAGAAAGTTGAGAACCCTACAGCCAGCGAGAGGAACCAAGGGAAGAGGCAAGGTGCAGACACGAAGCCATGCAATTCAAGCTGCACTGAGCCTGCTCCTTTTTGGTAGGTCCTGGTGCTTCTTTCCTGGGGTTTACAGAAGCTGACAGGGCCAGAAAGTGTCTAAGAGTGGTACCAATATAAGGCTGTAGAAATTCACTCAAAAAAAAAGATGACGCTTGGTGGGCTAATGTAGGAAAGCTTCAAGAAGATGGCATTTAAGTTGGACCTTCAGGAGGGGATGTAGAGAAAGGAAGGAAACAGTGGAACGTAACAGGAGATGGACAATTCCAAGCCAGGCACAAGGGCAAGGAAGACCAGTATCAAGAACTGAAAGTCTGTGTAACACCATCTATCTACATTTGCCAAAAACCTAGGAAACATTTTTGATTCTCTTCTTTCTCACCCTCTGTATCCCATTTGTCGCAGAGTGCACCTTTTCTACCTCTATGCTGTACTTCAAACCCATCACAACAGCTACCAACTAGTTCAGCAGTTCTCAACCTGGGATGGTTTTGCCCCCCAAGGCACATTTAGCAATGTCTGGAGACACTTTTGGTTGCCCCAACTGGAAGGGGAGGATGCTACTGTCTTCTAGTAGGCAGAGGCTGGGGACACTTCTCAACATCCTACGGTGCATAGCACAGCCTCCCACAAAAAAGAATTTTCTGGCCCAAAATGTAAATAGTGCTCAGGTTGAGAAACTCTGATCTATTTCTAGCCGTTATTACAAGAGTCTCTTCCTAACTTGCTTCCTTGCTTCCACCACCTTGCTTCTCTCCAGAGTGACGTTTTTAAAATGTAACACATCATATCACTTCACTGCTTTGAAAATCTCGACACTATACCTCGAATAAAATGCAAACTATTTCCTCTGCAGTAACTGTACCTCACACTTCTCTTTAGCTCCTTCCCTGTTCTCCAATCATAACAGCTCCTTTCTGTTGAGCATGCTGTGCTATTTCTTGTCTTGGGCCCTTGTACTTGTGTTTCCACTGCCTCTTTCCAAGGCTAGCTCCTTCTCATCCTTCAGATCTCATCTAAAACGCTGCTTCTCAGGGAGAACTTCCCTGATCATCTCATCTAAACTAGGACTCCCGGTTACTGCCTCACTCAGATCATCCTTTCATTTCCTTCATGGTACTTATCACACTCTGGCTCCTTGCTGGAATATAAGCTCCATGAAGGCAAAAGCCTTGTCTATGTAGTTTGCAGCTATATTTTCAGGGCTACCACTATGCCAGACAAAGAGCGGAATTTACTAGAGGAAGAGGAGGAAGGGTGGTGGCAGCCAGATTGCAGAACATCCAGCTGAGGAGTCTGTATGTTGTTTGGTAGGCAGTAGAGAGTCACTGACAGTCTAATGCAGGAAAGTGCTATATATAACTGGAAGCTTAGCCTGGTAGCAACGTGCACCGTGACTACAGGGCAGAGCGTTTTGTGGAGGAACAATTTAAGAGGCTATACCATTAATCCACTGTGAATAAACGTAGTAAAAGTGGCAACTGGAGAGTTCTAAGGGATATTATGATTAGAGAATTGTTAGGACCTGGTAGAAGACAAAACAAAACAACAACAAAAAAGAACAAAAGGTAAAGTGTTGCACTTGGGTGACATGGAGAGTTATTAAAACATTAACAGAAATAAGGAAATTAGGGGAAGAGGTGATAAAGCTGGCTGGTCAGGAAAATGTGCTATTTTTGAGGAACCATGGGACATGTAGGTAGAAACATATAGAAAGTAGAATGACATATAAAACTAGAGCTCAAGAGAGAGACAGGAGAGAGGCACAAAGCTCTGGAGTCACCTGGCTAGAGACCACTGCTGAACCTGGGGAGACGGATGAGATCAATGGGCAGCATGTGCAATGGAAAGAAGTATATAAACAACGCCAGATCTTTAGAGATGGGGAGAAAGGAAAGAATGACAGACATAGACAAAGAATATTTGGAGACAAGAATCATGAGAATGAGTCGGCATAGATGTCCAATAACCACGTAAGGGGCCTTAGGAAGCAGGACAGGAAGGCACTACTACTGACACTGGTACATGCTAAAGAAACTGACAGTTCCTCCTAATGGTCATGAATTGGTTGGCATGTCCTTCAATCTTGTCTTATCAGCAACTTATAGAAATCCTTTAAAGTTCTACCATATGGACAAGCCCCTTCCCTAATATCCAAATCGGACAGATGTTTCCAGATATTGTTATATTTCTTTGGTTGGATTCAATGGCAGTTTATAAGATGACTTAAGTATACAAGAATATTTCAAAAAGTTTGTGGAAAAACAGAATTAAAAGATAATACAAATCTTTCCACAAACTTTTTGAAGTATGTGCTGGGATTACCATATATACCAGAAGTCTCTAGAGAGCATGTATTTTAGGCAAGACGGCCTTGTTTGTAGTTCCCAAATTTGGTGTGCATCCGAATCTCTCGGTGGAATGTTAACCTACAGAAAAGAGCAGACATTCACAGGGTTAAGTAGATAGGAGAGCAAGGTTCCGGAATGAGAAGTCAGGTTTGGATAAAGATTATAAGAAGGCACGCAGAAGATTAGGAGCTGAAGGCGAACAGGAGGCTGGTCTGCAGTCGCAGACACACACACATCAAGAAGAAATGCAGGACACCTGAGGCAGGGAGTGCTTCTCGGCCAGAATGCATGCACTGACCCACCTCACGTCTCTCTCTGCCTGGAGGTACAGCCTGCCCCGGCCCAGTACCAGTCATAATACACCAAGTACACACAGGTGACTAAGAGCAGCAAACAACCACATGGAGCAGGAGGCAGCCATCAAAGATAGAACACTTATTTTATTTCAAAGGAAACAGTTTTTAGCTCTCTACTTCTATAACGACTCATGCCGAAAAGAAAAAGCCATCGTCATCTTGTTTTTGCACAACTCAACAGCTCTCCAGATAGGTTAGGCAACTCCTCACATGTTGCACAGTGTGTCAGTGACAAGCCAAGACTGGAAGAAAAATCCTTAAAAAATCTAAGCTACTTCTCGGTTGTACCAGAATTCTATCATGCAAGAAAGCAAGGCTGATGGTATCAATGGGAGAATTTGAGAGAAAAGAGATTGCAGGGTGTATCCTCTTAAAATGAAACTAAGTAAATTGCTTTCATCCAGAGAGTAAATCAAATAATTCCTGACTGTATTTTAAGGCCTTGAACTTGAAACTAAAGTATACTACTCATAAACAATGGCGGTAGTTAAAAGAAAATTCACTATAATTTTCTCAACATATAACTAGTAAAATCTAGAATTATCAGAATAAAAAGCAACTCTAGATATCGTAAATATCCAGATAAACATCTTGTATTATGCTTTATGAACAAATCTGAAAAAGTCAATTACCATCATGGTGGACAAGAAAGTGCCACCATTAGTGAACTGTCAGAAATAGAAGTGCTCTAAAAAGAAAATTTGCTTTTTTTAAATTGAAAAGCATGTGTAGTTACATGAAGACAGAACTGTTAATCAGAAGAGAAAGTATCTTATTTTTTTTTCACCCCAGAGCTTGATTGGGTGATAAACAATACAGAACACACATCAATTTTTTGACTGCTAGGTCTACTGAGAAGAGACAGACTTGTTTGCAAAAATCAGACAAAGGGAAAACGACAATATTTTAGTAAGAAATAATAATGTCTAAATTTACAATATGCAAATACTGCCTAATTTTAAAATGTACAAGTTGTAAATGGTAATAGGTACAATATGACAGCAAGTATCATTATTATTGTTGTTATTGTTATTATGATAGAGGAGGAAATTTGAATTTTATAACACATTTCTAAAAAAGCCCAAAAGCTAGCAAAGAATGTATTTATACCTACTTCATCAAAGCAATTAATTTAAATGAGAAAGGCAGAGAGGATTGATAAATTTTACACGTAAAATTGACCAAAGCAATATTCTCATACAACACTGCCACAACTGTAATTAAACTTTTCATTGATTTCCTGGGATTCATTACACAGAATCACTTTGCAACACCAGGATCTCATTAAAAGTGAGTGTAATATATTCGTTCATTAATAACACTTGAAATTATATTTTATTTGTTAATCTCATATTCTGTCCCTTCACAAATAAACATAAAATCAATGCTGCCAACGAAGCATGACCCATCCAATACAAGGCCAGAGGCACTGCACTGCAGGCTTAGGGATGACTCTGGGAACCTAAGGAAGAGTAACATTCCCACTCCAATGTAGATTAACCCATCCCCACTCCTGGGTGGGTGGCCACACAGAGAACCCCAAGCTTCCCCATGAACAGAGATTCAGGAACAGCCTTCACTAAGGGCAGTCCTGACTATTCGGCCCAATCTGAGCACAACTACAGCTCCTTCAGTCAATCTCTTCCAAACCATAGGCCTGACCTAAGACTGACCAGGGCCTTCCTCTCCCAGACCCAACATTAACAGGATTTAC